AGTTAATGCCTGTGTTTCAACCTACATATGAAATTGATGATCATTAGCACCTGCTTGGTATAATGGGTTAATCATACACCTGACTTTTATCCTACAAGATCCCTGACTTTGTGCAAGTGTACAAAGTGTGCAAGTGTAAGAATTGATGCTGGTTTGAAGCCAAAGGGTAGTCAAACCAAATATTGATACAATACACGTGTATGGAGGAATTATTCTTCAACTAGTAGCATATAAGACCAGTAAATAAAGAGAATAAAAATCAACCAGACAGAGCTAAGTGCTCATTGAAAAATCTTCCTGAACATAAAAAGAGAAGGCCCTTCTGAGAAATAACATATTCCATAAAACAGGGCCTACCAGAGAGAAAGCTTGCTGCCTCAGCAGGAATCTTGCAAGAAGAGACTCTCAGCAGGCCTTCTCAAAATGTTCAAACTGGATAAGTAGAATTGACTGTGGTAAGATGCTGCCTGATATAGCCCTGTGCTATATGAATGTACAATAATATAATAATAAAAATTGACTTTTTTTAAATCAAAAATTGTTATCCTCCTAAAGGTCTCATGAATTTCAAAGCTTTAATTGAAGAATCAGAAATAAGAAAGTTTCCAGACAATGATTTATTGCGACATCTCCGATTAGTTACTCAAGATGCAGAGAAATGTGCCTCAGTTGCACAGCAACTTCTTAATGGCAAGAGGCAAACAAGGTACGCTTATCATGTGTTTTGTGGATAGTTTTACATTCTGTGGAGTTTGTTTAGAAACATTACATGTCTCTCAGTTACTGCCAATACTAAAACTTGCCTGGGTCCGTACCCATTGTGCAGTGTACTTTGAATATTTATTTATTTATTTATTTATTTATTTATTTAATTTGTCCCCGCCAATCTCCCCACAATGGGGGACTCTGGGCGGTTTACAACACACTAAAAAACATAAATACCATTAAAAATTATAAAACCAAACATTAGAAAAATAAACAACTAAAAAATCCAAGAGGCCGCTGGGGGCAC